CCCACCCTGGATCCCTGGCAGTGCCCAAGGCCAGGCTGGGCAGGGCTGGGAGCAGCCTGGGACAGTGGGAGGTGTCCCTGCCATGGCAGGGGTGGGAACAGGATGATTTTTAAGGTCCCTTCCAACCCAAACCATTTTGAGATTCCAGATTCTCTCAGTGTTTCTCTCATGTCCAAGATGAGCTCACGTGGGACGTCCATTCCTTTTGCAGAACCTGATCAATAAGATGTGGCTGGGGGTGCCATCCCAGGACAAGATGGAGATCAGGAGCTGCCTGCCCAAGCTGCTGCTGGCCCACCACAAAACTCTGCCTTACTTCATCAGGAACAAGCTCTGCAAGGTCATCGTGGACATCGGCCGCCAGGACTGGCCCATGTTCTACCACGACTTCTTCACCAACATCCTGCAGGTGAGAGCCCTGCCATGCATGGAGCCAGCTTCTCCCTCAGAAACATCTTTTTGTTTCCTTGAGGAGGGATAAAGAAACCCCTGTTTGATGAAGCTCAAATGGTAGATGTTGCTTTGTAAATTCCTTTTTAATTTTGTTGTAACTCTCGACTTTTTCCGTGTTACTTTTCTCTCCAGTGTTAAAAGTGTTTTTGGAGAAGGAGCTACACTGTGCCACAAGTATTCACTTTGAATTTTAAATATTATGGGCTAAGTCTTGAAAATACAAGGAGTATGGGTTGTTTTTTAAACAAAACAGAAGGCAGTGAAATTACAGATTCTGAAAGGGCAGTTCCTCAATGGGGCTGGTGCAGATTTTTCCCCCAACAGCCAAAGACACCCCAAAATCTCTGGTACTTCATCAATAAGGTCATGGGGTGATGGGATCCCATCCTAATGGGATGTTGTTGGGGTTTTCAGGAGGGCTTAGCTGTGAACTGGGGATCCTCACTGAATCCATGTCATTACCTGGAATGTTGGATGAACTCAGTGTCCTTACAGGGAATCCTGGGCCAGGCTGCTGCTGGAGCATCACCAGGCTGGTGCAAACCTCTTTTTGTTGGATTATTTTGTCTCCAGTTCCCTTAAAATTGTCCCTAATTGGCTTAAAGAGGCTGAGTGTAAACTGAAGTGCTGCACAGCTTTTTCTGCTGACATAATTACATGATTTGAATGCAGCAAAGCCCACGGCCAAGCCACAAGGCAGTTACTGAAATCCAAGTCCTTGAGTGGCAGGAGTTTATTTGTTAAGGCAAATGGATCTAGTATTAATTGCAAAATTTAAAAAAAAACCCTGTCTTGGCTGCAGAGCTCATCCCTGGCTGGTGTAATCACTATTCTGACTGTTCTGGAGTGGGACATGCTGCAGCTTTAACCTCAGTTGTCAGTTTGACAAGAAATACTTGGAGATAACTGTGTCCATGTGGAGTTGTGCCTCTCATTTCACCTGGATGTGAACTGAAAGGCAGCCTGAGCTCTCCTGGCCTTCCTACCACTCTGGGGTTTTCTTAAGGCATTGCAGAGCTCACTTGAGGAATCTCTTTTCCCTTATCCTCTCCTTGTGAGCTCAGCAGTGGAGGAAAATGTTTCCATAAATTAATTTGTGTGGCAGACACATTCCTAAAATGTTCAGAGAAAGTGGAGGAAAACCAGTAATGCTGAATTCCAGGGCCTTGGCAGAAGGCAGAGTAGCACAGGGGCAGAATGATTTGCTGTTAGAATTGCAGATGAGCCCTGTCTCAGGACTTTTGCTGAGATCATTTGCAGCATGTTCTTTGTTCTTCAGCATTAAATTGTATCCCAGTACTCTGAGTAGTCTCTAAGCCTTTTACTGAGCCTCTGGAGGGGTGGAGAAGAAAGGTAAATTGGGATATTGTATTGTCATTGTGAAGAGCCAGTAATTCTACATAAAGTACTGCTTCCTCAGAGGTTTAAAATTTGTTTAGCCTGACTGAGGTACCAGTGCCTGGTCTTGCTAAAACTCCCTGGATTTGTCAGAAAATATCCAGAGAGATGATTTTCAGTCCCTTCACAATTTACCAGCAGGTTGGATGCTTCATTGAGTCCTTTGCCTGTGTTTGGGACTTCTTTTTCAACAGCCAAGATGAGGAGCTCTTAGATGGGCTATTTTCTCCCTAGATATTTCACCAAACTCTGTGTTTTTAGCAGTGTTAACTCAGCCTGGCTCTCCTTTGGAGGGTCAGGGAATCAGGAGCAAAGTCAGCCTGTATTGCAGAATTATGGCTTCAAGGATTACTTGTAGCAACTGGGATTGGCTTTGGACTTTTCTCTCCCAGAGGGAGCAGTGCATAAATCACTTTGGATGTGTCTGGGCAGCAGTGGAGAGCAGAGCTGTCCTTCAGCTGGAAACAAAACTTTGTCCCACTTGAAGAAGTCTTTAATAACCCATGGCTGGTGAAGGCACAAGTCAGCTCTTTGTCCAGTCCTGTTCCAGCATGGAGCAGAAATTACTGTCTTAGGGGGATATTGTAACAAGGTGCAGGATTGATGCATCGGACTCCATGTTCTCAGAGGGTTAATTTATTATTTTATTGTACTATTTTATAGTAAAGAATACTATAGTAAAAAATACAGAAAGGATACTTACAGAATGCTAAGAAGATAATAATGAAAACTCCTGACTCTCTCCAGAGTCCTCACACAGCTTGGCCCTGATTGACCAAAGAGTGAAAACAACTCACAATCAGAGTACAATCAGGCAGTCACATTTGGGTAAACAATCTCCAAACACAATCTAGATGAGCACAGCACAGGAGAAGCAAATGAGATAAGAATTGTTTTCCTTTTCTCTGAGGCCTCTCTCGCTGCCTTTCAGCTTCCCAGGAGAAAAACCCTGGGTGAAGGAATTTTTTCAGAGAATGAGAATGCCACAGGGGGAAATGCAGTTTGCAGTTTGAGATCCAGTGCAGGTGCAAGGGGAGCTCAGATCCCTCAGGTGCCATCTGCTGCTGGCTGCAGCCTTTGGGCCGTGTGGGAAGGGGACATTTTTGGGGACCTGAGGTGGTGCTGGGCAGGGGTGCAGCAGGCAGAAGGCACAGGCTGTTCTGTGACCCTGCTGGGACACACAATGTGTGCAATGACATTATGAAAGCACTCCTGAAACCCCAGGGATTCCCACGGGGCTCGAGCTGTTGCGACATCAGAGATTCGGTCTGGGGAAGTCGAACTGGAGAGCCCTGAGCGGTGAAGCCGTTGTAAACCGGGAGTAGTGTTGCTAATCCCTGTGTGTCAGTGCATGTTGTCATCACAGTGCTCTCATCCCTGTGCTCCTCAGCTGATCCAGTCTCCTGTGACCACTCCCCTGGGGCTGATCATGCTGAAAACCACGTCGGAGGAGCTGGCGTGTCCCCGCGAGGACCTGAGCGTGGCGCGCAAGGAGGAGCTGCGCAAGCTGCTCCTGGAGCAGGTGCAGACCGTGCTGGGGCTCCTCACAGGTACATGGCTCTGCTTGTCCTGCTTCAGGGCACCTTTTGGACAGAACTTTTAAAAGAGAAAGCAGATTTAATTAGTTTCTTTTTTTCAACCAGTTCGGGAGAAAATACTTTTTTGGAGAAAAGTGGGAAAAACCTTGTTTATTAAACAATAAAACTTCAACAGTATTAAACAATAAAATTCTTTGCTGCTCTAAAAGAGATGACAAACTCAGAAAGTGCCTTCCCTGGGTTGCAGCTTGGATAATTCAGTTTCTTATCAATCTTTCTGGTGCTGGAAATGTTGCAGCCTGGTGGGGCCACAGGTGCGAGCTGCTGGTGCTCTTTTGAGTGCTCAGTTCAGAGTAAGTTTAAACAGGTTTAAAGAAAAGGGAAAAAAGACCTTACAGTCTAAGGAACTTCTTTGCTTTAGTTAGTTAAAACTGACTAAAACAAAGGAGAGCTCTCTTATCAGTCCCTCCAGTGCTGGAAAGGCCAGACCCAACTGTGGGCACAAGTGTGAGCTGCTGGTGCTCTTCTGGTGTTCAGTTCAGAGCAGGGTTAAACAGGTTTAAAGAAAAGGGGAAAAAAACCTTAGTTTAGTTAGTTAAAGCTAACTGAAACAAAGGAGAGCTCTGTCCTGCTGTCTGTCCATCCACAGACAGCACAGTCCAGGAGCAGGAACATGGAGGAGTGAGTGCAGTGTCTGAAAACAAGCTGCTGCTTCTTCTTCTTTTTCTTCACTTTCTGGAACAAGTCCTAAGGGTGTAAAACTTACTATTCAGCATAAACAGAATAAGATGACTGGGGATAAAAGCATCATATAGTCAACTCAGGACATTGTCACACCTTGTGGCACTGAGCTGGCTGTCCCCTCAGCACCCACAGCTGGGCTGCCACTCCTGGGGTGACGAGGGCTTTGGTGTCAAGATGACTTAGAGGTGTTAGAAAGTCTCTTTTTTTCAGTTTCGAGACTGAAGAAGAAGACAGAATTTTTGGGTTCTTGTTTTTAGGGTTGTTTATTTGCTCTTATTTAATACATTGTCTTTTTTTGACTTGTTGAGATCTGTTTAGCGTGTTGGTTTATGTCACACTGACCTCCCTCAGGGCGGTGTTGTCTTTTTATACTAAAAACTACATGTGCATTATTTACAATCATTTTCTAATCTTACCACTCATGTTGCACAGTTTGTTTTTATTCTAAACTAATTTAAAAGTGTTACTATTACAGCAGAAGATTGAGGCTGAGAAGAAGGAGAAAGACAGAATATGTTTACATTTTTTTATCTTGTTTTTTGAACTCTCATTCTAAAACCTCTAAAATCCTACATTTTCACATTGTACTCCAACCCTTGTGGCTTGTAACTCTTCACACAAAGTTGGTAATTGTTTTTATGGGTTGAAATCAAAGGCACAGGTGTTTTTGACTCTGTGCCAGGGTCTCAAATCCTCCCAGGAGTTTCCTGGGTTCTGACACTGGGGGTGTGTGGAGCACAATGGGGATGATGCAGTGGCTGCTGCTGCACTGTGAGCACTCAGCTCTGCCCTGCAGCACTTGGGCCAACTTAATATGACCCAATTCATGCAGCACAGCAGCTGCTGAGCTCCCTCCATGGAGAGGATGGGGGTTTTCTGCTCTTAGTGAGCCCAAAGCTGTTGTGGAGTGTTTCTGTCCCTCCCAAAGCACCTGAGCTGTGCTCTGCCAGAGTTCTCCTGCAGTCTGTGCTGTGTTTGTTGGATCAGTGTGGATCTTTGAGAAGGCATTTCTGAAAGTTCTCTCTTTGGCCAGGTATTTTGGAGAGCATCTGGGATAAGCACAGTGCTACTGCTGCCACTCCACCACCATCGCCGACCTCAGGAGAGAGTGGTAAGGAAAAGCTGCAAGATGGGATTTCCATGTACTTGAACCTGCAGTATCAGGCACTTTCAGGCACTTTCACCTGCAGCATCAGATTCCTTTCTTTGCTGTCTGACCTCTCCTAATAACCCTTTCCCAGAGCTTTTCACAGGCCAACAAATTCCTGATGGGAAAGACAAACTCTACACAAAGAAACAAATTGCACTGTGGGGACACCCCACTGCAAATGCCATGAAAATGTGCCCACAGAGCTGCTTGTTGTCCTCAGATGGCAGAAACCTCCCTGAAGCTTCAATGCAAAATGCTCTAATGACAGTGAGTTAAAATCATGGAATTGTTAAGGTTGGAAGAGCCCTCTAAGGTCATCAAGTCCAGCTCTTATTCCAGCACTGCCAAGGCCACCACTAACCCATGTCCTCAGTTGCCACATATGCAAGGCTTTTAAATCCTCTCAGGGATGGTGACCCCCACTGCCCTGGGCAGCTGTGCCAGGGCCTGACCACCTTTCTATGAAGAGATTTTCCCAATACCCAATCTGAACCTCCCCTGGTACTTAAAGCCATTTCCTTTTGTCCTGTCCCTGTTCCCTGGGAGCAGAGCCCGACCCCCTCAGCTGTCCCCTCCTGTCAGGAGCTGTGCAGAGCCACAAGGGCCCCCCTGAGCCTCCTTTGCTCCAGGCTGAGCCCCTTCCCAGCTCCCTCAGCCCCTCCTGGTGCTGCAGCCCCTTCCCAGCTCTGTTCCCTTCTCTGGACACGCTCCAGCCCCTCAGTGTTGGGAGGGCCCAGAACTGGACACGGGACTGGAGGTGCCTCAGCAGTGCCAGCACAGGGGACAGTCCCTGAGTCCCAGTGCTGGTCCAGGCCCAGTGCCTTTGCCCTCTTGCCCACCTGGGCACACTTTTTTACTGAGCAACTTTGCAGCCCCTCTGCCCCAAGCCTTGCATGGGGTTGGCATTGTCCCCTGAATTGCTGCTGGTGGCACATCAAAGCCAGTGGAGCAAAACTGAGTCCTACCTGGGGAAAAGGAAAGTGAAAGTAGCCAAGTCTGTGTAATGGCACAGGGTGCCCAGAGCAGCTGTGGCTGCCCCTGGATCCCTGGCAGTGCCCAAGGCCAGGCTGGGCAGGGCTGGGAGCAGCCTGGGACAGTGGGAGGTGTCCCTGCCATGGCAGGGGGGGCACTGGATGGATTTTAATGTCCCTTCCAACCCAAACCATTCTGTGATTATGAAAGTTTTTCTATCTATTCCTGTTAGATCTTTGTCTGAGTGCTTATCCGATGTTAACCCGTTGACATCTCTACTTCTTAGTTACCTCTGAAATGGAGAACACATTTTTGTGTCCTTGTCCTTGGCACACATTTCCTTGTCCCTGGGACCTTGAGCAGTTCCCTGGGAGCTGCAGATCACTTCCTTGTGGCCAGATTGCAGCAGGCAGCTCCAGCCTGCTGCCTCTGATAAGCCTTTGGCAGTGTTTTGCTTAGTGCTAAACCTTTCACATTGAAGTTTGAGCAGCATTTTGAGTGCTCCTTTCCTGTAGAGGAGCTTAAGATATTTCTGTATTTATATACAAACCACAAACTTTAATGGGAAGAAATATTCCTTTGGGTTGGCAGGGGGAAAGTGGATTTTGCTGTAGCTTGGAAGAGTTTGGACAGGAAATATTTACAGAAAAGATCAAAGCTTCTGGTGTCAATTGTTAAGAATGGTGCTGGGGGAGGGAATTGGTGGAACAGATTCTGGGCTGGCTGTCATGGAAGCCTGTTGGAGATGTCCCTCAGTCCCTTGGGGATTGCTGAGGCAGCTTTCATCCACCTGTGTGCTCCCCTCGTGACTGGGGATCAGATTTCCCAAACTGGAAGTCGGCTGCACTTCTGTGCTGGCCTTTTCCTTTCTCCCCTCTCAGGGAAAACAAACAAACTTTTCACACAATGTTTTCTCAGGATAATTGCTAGGAACCAGGACCACACAAGCTGTGCCTTCAGAAGTTTCATTGTGCCTGTGCAAACTTGTTTGTGTGAAACTCTCTCAGTTTTATTTTTCTGTGCTGTGTCTTTGCTGTGTCCATGTTAAAATTGGTTGTGCTTCTACTTCTTGAAGTCACAGAATCACTAAGGCTGGAAAAGACACTGAGTCCAACCAGCACTGCCAGAGCCACCACTAAACCATGTCCCCAAGTGCCTCATCCCCATGGCTTTTGGACACTTTCAGAGATGATGGTTCCACCACTTCCAAAAGGAGCACCAGGTGCTTCCCTCTGATCCATTCTTGCTCATTTTGTGTTCCCTGAGACTCAATTCTGGTGACTCTTGAATGTTTTCATTGCTTAAGTGAGGCCACCACTTTACTCTTTCCATTCAGGTGAGGTTAAAGGTGTTCCAAGAGGCAGAACAAGGGCCTGAGTCCCCATGAATGTTTAATATCTTCCATCAGAGCCCAGCTCTCTTTAGGAACTTGGAAAACCTCTGCTTCCTATTTTTCATTTGCACAGGGAAGTGGAGTGAAATGGTTACTTGCAAGTCTTGCATGAATTTTAAATAGCACTTGAAGACAACATTAAACTCATTTCTTATATCACTTAAGCAAAGCAACTCTGATAATGTCCCAAGCAGGACAACATTTGAGTTATTGCCATGGTGGAGGATTTACTCAGCAAGAGTCTCAGCCTGCAAATGTTGTCTTTGCATGATTTATAGCACATTTCCTGATGAATCCCTTCCTCAGGAACATTCCCTCACCTGTGGCAAACAAATGAGCAGCAGGAGCATTTGTGGCTGAGGCAGTCACTGGGAGTTTCCTGCTTTGGCATGAATGCAGCTGATGCTGTGAATTTGTCACCTGTTTGCAAAGCCACTGAAAATCCCTGAACCCCAGAGCTTCAGTGATTTAACTGTGTGCAAAGCACTTGAACCAGCTACAGGAGTGTAACTGAGACTTTCTGCTGGGGATGGATTAAAAGATGAGAATCTTTAATTCTCGTTGATTTTTGTGGAGCTGGCTGAACTGAATGTTTAAAAGAATAACAATAGTTGGGGTTGGAAGGCACATTAAAGATTATTCCTGCCATGGGCAGGGACACCTCCCACTGTCCCAGGCTGCTCCCAGCCCTGCCCAGCCTGGCCTTGGGCACTGCCAGGGATCCAGGGTGGGCACCCTGTGCCAG